GCTTTTGAAGAATTTCTTCGGTTTGACGACCGCGGATTCCGATTTGTTGTCTGGGTCAGTTTCGAAAGAAAATGGATCCTTTCCGGGATTCACGCGATTCTGATTCCCATAATCCAGTTTCATTCTCTTTGGGCCAAAAGTATTATGTATATCATCTCTCCTCCCTGAAAATGCAACAATTCTGCAATGCTGAACATGACGTTTTATGGAAATATATTACACGTCGATGAAGACTGAAGGTAGGTTGTGTTAAATAATTTAAACAGTATTTTAAATATATCATCAATATTCTTGAGATTGATAACGCTTCTAGATAAAAAAATGTTTCAATCAATAGAAAGGTATTTTATATATAATTATCTACTCATTTATATGTAACAACAAAATAAAATATTTATGCACAAATGCTGTATAAAGTACAGGATAATTTCATATTTATGTGATATTGTGTTTATGTAATATCGTTCTATTAAATTTTCAAATGTCAAATTCTATTGAACAGAACCATATGGTATCACTGCAGTTAAATATTGACATTATATCATTGAAGTAAAATCAGTTGATTGTGCCAGCCTCTAAAAATAAATCTTATCAATTTAAATCATGTTACAAGAATATATTAGTCCTTATTCTCAGCGTTAAAAATTGATTCTTTAAAATTTAAAATTGTAAGAGAAACACAACTTTTGTTGTTTATTTTTATCAAGGCAGATTAACTTTAATCTCTATTTAATTTACTTTTTACTAATCCTTAGAACTAGAAAAACTAAAAAGGAATGCTAAAATTAAAGTTAATCTATATTGGTAGAAATGGGCACAAATTTATTATGTTTATCATTAATATTATGCATTAGTGAATATATTTCAATTTTTACTTAAATAAATATTCTTGCTAAATGAGTACATATTAAGAAAGGTATATTTGTCACACACTTGTAACGACAATAAATATTTATATATGAAACTTTCTTTTATGATGTTCCTTTATATATTATGGATAAAAATTTAATCTTAATACAGCAAATTTATTTTGATGTTTAATGCATGTGTTTTCTACCAACATAGATTAACTTTAATTTTGATTCAACTTACTTTTAATCCTTTTTTAATTCTTAGAACTAGAAAAAGATAAACAATTAGTTATAAATCAAGATTAGAGTTAAACTACATTGTGTAATAAAAACAGATTACAGATATATAATTCTTAGAACCAGAAAGAGGTAAAGTTAGTTGAACCAAGATTAAAATTAAACTACATTAGTAGAAACAGGTATATATACTTATTTCAATGTATAAAGTTGGCCAGCAACGTGGCCAATGTATGCCAGAATTTTATTGTTTACAAAATACATTCCCTCGGTCATGACGGCCATCGATCGCCGTGTAAAAAGTGACTTCCAAAAGTGGCGTTACAACAGCAATCACCACGTTACGTCTAACGTAAACATAGAGCGATAAAGCGTTTTTTTTACCGTTGATATTCGTGCTCCTGATAGAAGTAAAAGATGTTATGCCCCATTTGCCGACGGTGCCCGCGGACTTGGCTGCGGACGGCCGATTGCTGTTCTCGCGGAAGAGCTTGTCGAATTGAATGCTGCCGGGTGTTACACTGCTGACCTTGCGGCTGTAGGACTTGGTGTAACTGCGGGACGTCATTGTGCGCGCGTCTCGTGGATTCTCTTCGGCATCGCAGGACGATACAGACGATAATGACGCAATCTATCCTCGTGCCCGTCGGTGACGAGCGGCTGCGCGCCGCGCGCGCTCACGACGTGGGTGCCGCGGCCTCCGGAGCATCCGAAGCGCGACCGCTTCCTTGTCCACCGGATGCGTGTTGTATCGACGGTAGCCGAAATTCGGACCGATTCAGCTGCGGCGGATGGCGGTGTCCCGCGGCGGTGCGATAACGTGCACCGAAACAAACGCCATATTACGAGCTACTCTGACGCGCACGAGACGGAGACGGAGACGAGGAGCTTCTCTCATTCGCTCTCCCTCTCGTTCGCTTTGTTTGCACGTTCGCTCGCTCTCTCGCTCGTTCGCTCGCTCGCTTGTTTGTTCGTCCGCGCGCGACGCTGAGACGATAAATTCGATTAGCGATCGAAACGATCCCGGTATCGGGCGACCGCGATACTCCACTACTTCTCGGCACTTACTGCTAATGCCTCTACCGCCGTCTTCGTCTTATCCGTCGTCGCTATCACTGTCGTTTCTCCGTTCTTTGTCCACCACTCGGCTACCATTAATTTCTGAGACTCGTGGGGAATTATTAATCATCAACATAGATCTTGAGCCATCTGCCGATTTTTTTCGTTTCGGGATTTAGATACACGTATATAGAGGTGTATACATATATATGTATATTACGCAGAAGGGAGAGGGAGAACGGAGTGTCCACACTGGTCCACACGGATATTTGCTTATTTGCCACTTCTGCCATAAGATATGTTGGATTCACACTGCATCCGATTTTCGTCGTACGACG